CCGCTCCTGAAGGTAGTTGCTATGGCGATATACTGCAACTATTGACTTCTAAGCATGGTGTGATGTATCTTCTTGTCCAGCAATCTGTAAACAATGTATTGTGAATATAAGATATATTTATGTATGTATTGCCATATATCGACATGACTCACATGTGGTTTGTTGTTGTTTTATTTTAAACAAGAATAAGGGAATTTAATGAAACTATTTATGTTCGAAATAAGTGTGCTGTATATATATATATATACAATGGGATATATATTCTTACCGTAAGTCCGATCAACACTAATTATTTAGTTTGCTAATGGAAATGTTAGTTTATCTATGCTAGTTTTCAAAATACACTGACTATACCAAACATTTTTTTGCTGAATTCAGGAAGATGCAAGTAAATTACAAATAAACTCTGTCCTGATTTACTAGGAAAATAAATAGAATGGAAGTTGTTGGACCCGATAATATAATAAATTCCTGATAATGTATCATTAACCGATAATGTAACACGAATTAACCGATATTGTAATAAAAACCGATAATGTAACAACACGCAACCAATAGTGTAACAAAAAAAGGACCGATAATGTAACAACTCGCAACCAATAATGTAACAAAAAGGACAACCGAAAATAAAACACAAAATAACCGATAATGTAATAATATGTATAACTGCAAACTTGAATTCATTGAAATTGTTCGCATTTTCCAGAACGATATGCACCATACTGTATTTTATATCCTCCCATCAAACAAATATTTTTTGTTTGGTTTTAGCTGCAATTTAATTAAAAAGAGTACTGAAATTCTCTTATACTTTAGGATACATGTCCAGCATGTCCAGCTAATATTGACTGCATATATTTGTGTTTAAAGATTGCTTTCGGGGTTTCCATGAAGTTACGGCGAATCATGGGACCTTCCAAGACAATATGGAGAACCATATTGAGAGGGGGTAAAAAGTGGTTAAATTTTGTAAAATAGCAAATTATTAAAGGCCCAATTTAGTCGTCTTGGGCGATTGTTTATTTAAGGTGTGGCTATGCTAATGAGTGCATTAATCACTTGCTCGACGTATGTTTACAGAACCCCTTGTAGTTTATTTACAAGCTAATGACACTTCTATAGAGCATTGACCTGAGCTATACAGGCATTCCGTAACGACAGCACTAATAACGGAGCTAATATGGAACGTGTTACGTATCATATGAATTTACCAATCACGATGCCACGGCGATGACAAGTAATATATGCAGGCACCCTTAGGGTGCTTGCATGCTCGCTACGGTGAACAATATACAAACTATTCACTATCACTTTCCAGTTCGAAGGATTAATTAATAACCTTTAATTATAATAAGTTTTGAATTTGCGACTTGGATACTAATAATATTTAGCTCTGCTGCCATCGAAGATGACGCAGCAACTAATTACTGATTAACTGTCGTTCGTTGCATTTGCATCTTCTTCTTGAAGACCAGTAGCCTGAGTGTTTTGATGTTTAAAGGGCGGCAGTCGTCGCGCCGTGTCCTGTTCGATATGGGACTCATAGCGACGTATACAACGCGTGTAAAATACATTGTTTATTTACATGAAATTCGAGCACGCGCTGCGCGACGGTCACCGCGCTTTAATATACTACTACCTTGGGTGGGCCTCTCTCAGATTTTACGTCAATATTGTATTTTTGTAAACATTTTGGGTAATTTTTGTCAAAACTGCTTTTTCTGACTACTTCTTGAAAACTACTGATTTAATACATGTCATGTAGGTATGACGAACTATTCTCAATTCTTAGCAATTATTTGTTTATGTTTAGTAACAAAATGATACGCGGTCATTCTTAGGATGTTTATGGAATCACCAATAGAAGGGAACTACTAGCTAGAAGAGACAACTTTTTTCACATTTATTCTAGTAAAACAATAGAATTATAGTTGAATTACAACAAAAATGTCACACGTATTATGTATAACGTCAGGCAAAGTAATGTCAATCTTTATCACATGCAAACTTTGCATGTTGACCTTTCACTCACACTCACCAAGATAGGCACAAGCTCAGATACTCGTGATATTTCTATGTTGTTGTATTGTTTATAAATGTATTATTTGTATTTACTGATATTTTCTGCAATATGACCTTTAGTATCATTATTTCAGAGAATTTCGTGACTCCAACAACAGATAATTTCAATAAGATAATTGTAATATGTATGAAATATACGGTTGGGAGTCGGCCACCATTCGACACCCCGAAAATAGTTTCGAACACACACATGTTTTATATCCTATCGACTGAGTCCCTGTAGTTATATAAATATATTTAGATTTAATTAATGATTTTAAATATATTTACTAATATAATAGCGTATTTCTTATGCATTTACATGTATTATTTTTTAACTCATACGCGCATTTATATTTATTTACCAATAACTCGCACCTTATAAGTACGGCGTATTTATTTAATATAAAATACAATTATATGTATGTACAACTGACACAATTTAATGTCATGTGTTCATCAATTATACATACATAACCAATAGAAATATAAACTGCGTCTGGTGCGTCTGTCGATGTAAATCTTTAAACATATTTGTTTTCAAAAATCAATATCAAACTAGTCCTGGAAAATCATATAATTGTGGAAATACAACAGAGTGAATAAACATTTCTGAACTGATCATCTCGGCAAATTGAATTCAAATGCACTGTACTTCTGACGTATGAGTTATTGGCAAATAAATATACCTCACTCGGATGATTTAGCACACGGAAGATTTTTCGCATGTCACCGGGTTGTACGAATTACGACATTTAATTTGAAAAATGTCTTATATATTTACAAAAAATAAGATCGTTGTGAGAATTACTGAAGAATAAAATTGCTAATTATTTATTTACACCTTGCCCATGTCTACGAAATTACGTTTTTTATTTATTTAAATTACATTATTATGAAAATAAACACAATTGAATACAGCTTACGAAAATACCCCTTGCCGACCCTCTAATGTCATATAAAGCCTGCCGCTGGACATGATGTGATTTCACCCATTTCTAAGAGGATAAACATTTCAAACACAAGAGCGTTGTAAAGCATCCAGTTTTCTTGTCGGTGGACGATACAAATTGAATCTGGTATCAAAGCCAGTAAAACGTTTGGCACGCACAGAGACTGAAGCAGTTATGTGAGTGTATCTGATTTTTCCTTTGAAATCCTCTCAAAAAAGCAGGAAATGCCATTTTTCAGGGGGAGCATGCCCCTCCCCGGCCGGACCCCGAAACTTGCGCCTTCCCTCAGAGAGTGAAAAGAACCCCCAAGCAAATTCCTGGCTACGGGCATGCTACGAAATGATGATCATCACTAAATAACTGACGACATAAATGCTACTACTGCGAATAAATTGAGACAATTCATCGATTCGTGTGATTTCCTTCCTATTTGTAAAACATGGTTAGAAAGCGACACACCTAAAGTTCAGTTCATCGCCTGCTATCTGAATTCAAAGCTGCGATTGGATAATAACTTGACGCGTTAGTGAGACCCCAAACCCAGTTAAATTGCATAGTTTCATTTTTCCCATGGATTGTTTTCTGCATATCGACCCGAGATCGATCTTTTCCGATGAGATAGTTATTGGATGTATACACTGTGACACAAAACAGGAAACATTGAAGTTATCGTTTTAGATTGTCGACATGATGGAAGGGAAATACACAGACATCTATAGTGACGAGGGCATGTAAATATCAGTACTATTGTACAGGTGTTCGTATCTATGATAGCCAAACACGCCAAAATAAAACGCCACTGTAATGAAATATTTTCGTTATTGCCATGTTTCACAAACCCACGAGTAACGTGTATTCACGTCATTATCTTTACCAACAATATTTACCTTAGTCTTATTCAGCTTGAATTTGGAGGGGCGACGCCCCCACATTTTTGTTTAGAGGGGGCGACCCCCACTAATTTCAAGTACTGAAGCTCGTTTATTTTACAGAAGAGCACCACGGGCCGAAACGCCCGTCCACCTTAAAAAAGCAATAATAATGTCCACGCTACACGGAGTACGGGCTACAATTTAAGCTAATATTATATGTCTGCATATCGGATAGACCCAATTGCGTTCACGCACGAGAGGTGTCGGGGGTTAAAAACGAGCTAAGGAATTCCCAAACCTGTTAAGAGTATAACAAATCTTCACAGTCATTTTAACTATGATTACTCAGTACAGTAACCAGGAAGGTATAAGTTCAACGGTGATAAAACAATACCAAAGTAAAGTCAGTAGCACGGAGTTTCATCGTCGATTCGATTCACAACTACTCTTGATGTGCTCGCGTTGATTGTCATGCCGAAAATGTCACACTCAAATGAATAGTTATTAATGTAATAGTAAATCTTCCAAATGAACATAGAATGCAATGGCGTTTTGGGCGCTTAGCGTATCTCGAGCGGGTCTTAAAACGGACCAGATGTCATCTGGACTTGGCGATTCGTAGCCCGTGCTGAGCGTTCACGCACGTTTTATTAACACGGGCTAAGGTATCTTCCCCCTAAGCCCGTGCTAACGAGCTGCGTGCGAACGCTAATATTGACTTGTTTAAAATAGGAGTGTACTAGTCGCCTAAAAGAATGACGAAAGAATCAGATTTGTTGGACAGTTGATAACTTGCAAATATGTTATTACATTATCGGTTGTTAAAAAAAATATATTACATTATACTAAACGTGGAATCGCTTATACACGTTACTAATACACACCAATCTCTTTTATGTTGCACAATTGTTATTAGGTTCATATCTAGGTAATGTACATATGGGTATAACCGTAGTGCAAACATAGCATAGAATTGTACTACCAAGTAATAATACAACGGAGTCATATCACGTGTTATCCTGTATTGACATAATCACTACTACGAGATGAGATATGTTCGTGTGGATTGATAAAGATAGAATAGTAAATCAGTGATTATAAAACACTTTAATACCTGTCTGCGATATGTAATAACTGCATCATGTGCTTCTCTGTAGAGGTCTCGTAGTTTCTTTAATTCCTCTTCCGCTTTAAAACACGAACCGCTAGTGTGTTTAAATGCACAGGTAACCACTGTCTCAACACGACTTCCATTGGCACCGGTCTGTAATGTCATTCCAGTAATCTCGGGGGCCACGTCGCTGTTCCTTAGGTCTAACACCTGAATATCAATAATTCAAGGGTAACAATTTGCAATAACTGATTACGTCATACAGTCGATTACGTCATGTGTTTTTACGTTGTAATGTATTGGCATTACAAGCCCGTCTTTATTAAACATATGTCACCATGGTCACAATACAGTGTACCGTATGGTTTGCATGAATTATCTGTATTGTACATAATTTAAGGGATGTGAATTTCAAATATTGAATGTTTACGCGATATTTCCATGGTTACACGATGTTCACGACGAGAAAGTACCACAAATTCTAATACTCAGTCCCTGGCATCACCAAATACCGCAAAGTATGTGGTCTGACAGTACGGGGTCACATTGACGCTAAACATCGGTCGATATATGTCTATTCTTACGTTCAACATAGTATACTCAATCATTGTCCGAAAATATTGTCCGAAACGTCTAGTTATTTTGAACAGGCACTTAGAACAACGATTACCAAATATACTGTAACCTCGCTTTAACAAAGTAACTCTTTGGAAGCATACAAGTTTGTTACAATGTTCACTATAATAAAGTACATAATACATTGTTTTCGTTATGAACGGGTGACATACAACGTGTTCAGTATATCAGGAAATGTGTTATAAACGTATTCATTATAACGAGGTTGCAGTGTATTGACGTGTCTTCATTAGATTGTAAACAAATATTCGAACAAATCCGAAATCGTGGACTAAAATTAAGAAGTATGCGTCAAAGATAAAATGCTCACGCCACTGTAAGTTGCTATCATTTTAATCATTTTAACGCAATATATGAGAATGCCATCCATATACATGTACATTTCAACGTATCTTCTCACCTTAGGTACGAACACTATACACAGTGTGGTGGTTGTACACAAGACAATAGATAAACCACTAATGGCATATTTAACATCAGCTTGCTCTGCTGGCACTATGAATGACGTAGGTACACCGAGTAGACATAAAACCATGACGTTGTACACAGCAAATCCTATCAAACGTGAATCATTAAGCTGTGTATAACGAACGTTTCTTGTTTCCCACGCCAGAAAGCATCCAAATAGTAATATTACACCTTTGTATCCATAAAGAAGTCCCAACCATATGGTGAGATAAGATGAAGAACACTCGGCAATAACAGGAATTATATTTATGTCAAGAGGACCATCTGTAGACAACTGGAAAATATTAACATGAATAAATTAATCTTAATTGCCACTAGAACCCTGGTATCAGACCCCACAATTGGTACAGTACGTAGCGACATACAAGGAAGCTTTATCTACTGTGAGTGAAAACTGTTCATAAAACATAGTGCACACGTTTAGTAAAATCCATGCACCGCGACCGCTCGTCACAACATATGTGTCTACTACTTTGAGAAAGAAATATACCTCATTGGTAAAATGCTTACGATAACACATTTAAACCAAGGATGACAAATAATATAACTAGTGAATATTAATTTATTGCGGGTATCTAGATGTGAAACTTACTCGGCTAGGCAGCTCCTTTTCTTCGTGACGTAATGGATCCAAACACACCCAGAGTAATAATATTATAACATCAATGGAAATTAACACGAACACTATACCAAGTAAATGTATGTCTTTTATTCTCTGAAAAGATAAACACAAAGTGTAAGCCAACTAACTACATGCTACGCAAAATGTACCTGTGACGTCATTTAAGGAATAATATACTCGTAAGGGAATATATAATACTTACATACTTTTCATTTTCTT